TATTTACTGGGGATATAAGCAGGGGCTTACAGAGAACTCACTGTATGAAAGTTGGTCTACCCCAGTGGAGCTGGTCCAGAGTGGCTGGGGAGAAGAGTGTTAAATTCTGGGTTCAAGAGTTCAGTTCCTCTCCCCTTAATAGCAAACACGTATCAGAATTCAAAATGAGAAAAGAGACCACAGTGAATCAGGAGGAGGGGTCTGTTGCCTTCCATTGCAGCTCCTTTTTCCCTAACAATGTTTAAAAGTAAGGCTTTTAATTTTTTTTTCCAGCACCCACTACCATATGCTGCTTCCCAAGCTATGATTTTTTTTCCCACCAAGCCACTGCGATATATCCAACAGAATGTAGGGAAACTATTGGTAGAGTTTAGGGCCAGCTCAAGAAATTTTCCTGACTGAGATGAATGAATATATATATATATATATATGGAGTGGATGATGATGGGACAGTATTCTCTACTGTGCCTGAAGGAGGCAGGCCAACAGAGGGGCACAGAGCAGGGTTCCTAGCACCAAAGTCTCTCTTCTAATGCCTTGGGGCCTCCCCCACCATCTGCCACCTCAGACATTTGCTTTACTGTGTCTAATGGCAGGGACACCCCTGCAAGAGCTGGACATTTGGATATGTAGGATTGAGATCCCTGCACATAGTCTCTTTTCCAGGAGCCTATAATAGTTTAGCTAGATGAGCAAGGGATTATAAGAGGACTAAGATAACCTGCATTCTCTGCCTGCCTCCAACTATTTTGTCTTACACACCATGAATAATAGACTTCTGAGTATCATTAATTCATATGAAAGTCAACAACTGAACACTGGCAAGCTTCAGTACCTATAATGTCATGAAGGATTATTAGTTTCAGGCTCAACAGTAAATTCTGGAAGCTTAAAATGTTAAGAAATTTCTGTTGCCAGTTCATAGTGGAAAGAAATAAGTACATTAGGATTTGTGATAGTGTACTTGATGGTTTCTTTTGAAACATAAAGGATATTTCAGTAAGAAGTTGAAATACAGTAGCATTTTCAACTCATTTTTGCCCACTACGTTTCCACTGAAAATAACATTCCCAGCTGCATTTCTTTTAAAGGGGTACCATGTATTCACCTGCATAGATATATGTCATACATGATGCATAATCAAGCTGTTAGAATAGGAATTAATCCTAGCACTTTGAATGATCTCCTAAATTCCTGGAAATATCTGCTCCAGTGTTACAGTTACCATGGAAGGCAGGGATATCATGACAACTTGCCAACCAAGCCAAAGAGGGTGTTTTGATTAGGCTCATCCTAAATCACACAGACTCCTTTTTACTCAATAAGCTGCAGACACAAAAAGGCACACCCTCCACACTCTCCCCTTTGGGAATGCTGGACAAATCACCAGCATTGCTTTTGAATCAGCCCAAATGATTCTTTAGGAAAATTTCAGGAACTGAACATTCTATTCCACATCTGCTGCTTCTGATCCCCAAGTTCAGGTGAGTATTAGTCTGCACTGTCCCACCTGTGTGCAGCAACTAATAAGGACCATAAGGTGACTTTTTGTTCCAGGATGCTTCCTGCGTCACCATCACCACTACCACCACCAAGAACCAGGTGTGTGGGAGGCCATGGTCTCTATAAGCCACAAGGAAACAGAATGGGGTGAAACCAAACAGTGGTTTGAAGGTCCTTTTATAGTATTAACTGCATCAGCCATGTGTTTTCATTAAGGCACACAATGTGTGCATGGGGTGGATAACTTTGTAAATGTATTTCTTGGTCCTCCACTGCAGAAAAGTCAGGTTTGGGTATCCCTGGGGATGAATGTTCTCTCCTGTCTATAGTGTTCTCCTCCGTTTCACTTTCTCTGGATCTTCATCTCCTTCCTTCTCTGTTCTGCTTCTTGTTCTGCATCTGTCTGATAGTAAACTAATCCTTGGAAAGATAGTATTGAGAAGTCTGGCTGCCTGCTTAATCGACCGCCACAGTCTGCTCAAAACTGCCAGCCGCAGCAAAAATAAACAGCTAAAGCAGCAGGAGGGGACACTGCTATAGTGTTGATTAAGGTGAGAGCTGTCTTGCTGTGCAGACATGGAGCTACAGGGAGTTCTTTATAGTGGTTTGGTACTCATTATAACAAAAGGAAGGATTTGCACACAAGCAAACACACACCTTGCATCTCTACTGCCAAGCCTAAAGTGAGCCCCCTTGCAAATATGGGGACTGCACTGCAGCACCCTCCCCACTCACTGTTGCCACGTCTGCTGATAGAGTTATGTGAGGAAGGGTTTTAGTTGCTTGGCAATTGAGTGGAATGAAAGTCACCAGTGGAGCACCAGAGGATTCATGTGTGGATTTCCCTTATGCAGTTTTTGAATTCTTCCTACCACAATGCTTCTAGACGAGGAACCAGCAATTCTCCAAACAAACAACAGCAATCACATCAGTCAAGGTGTTGCTTTCAGAAGAAACCATGCTCTTTAAAGACAAGCTGAGATCATGCAACTGACTTGCATTTGTGAATTTAAGTAAACTGGTGGCTAGGGACAAACACTTGATACATTAACTCTAGGTTTGGTAATACCCACTGAAGGACACTAATTTATCTCTAATAGTTGCAAGACCATGTTTGACAGATCTGGCTTCTGTTCTTTTACTCTTATCACAGATATTGTATCTGTGATTTCAAAAAATACAGTCAGTCTCTTTGGGCCAGGAATATGTAGTTCTAATCAAAGCAATTTGCAGCTTTCTAAGATATTCAGCATAGCCAATGAGAGTGAAATTAATTTATTTAGATTCACCTGTGCCCAGTTTTCAGTACCAGACTAATAGGAGTCAGTTACTGAAACAAAAGGGAGAAGCAAAACAGTTATCACTCATACTAGGAATGTACACAGGCTTAATCTCCTCGATGAGACCTATTCTTTCCTCCCTATCTTCATCTGAAGTTATTAGTGAGAATCCTGTTCACCTATTGCACTTGGATTGTTTCTGTGCTAGGAATGCCAAGAGCCAGCAGCAGTAACCCCAACTGTAAAACAGACAAACAAAATACCAGTGGATACATGACTTTGACCGGAAACTCCTTTTTCTTCCTTTTGCAAAGAGTTCTATATTCAGGATTTGGGAAATGGCTTTTCCAAGTTTTAACCAGTCTTTCTGACTTTCTAAAGGACAGAACATTAAAGTGTTTGTTTTATCTGTTCTTGCAAACCGTTATGTCCATAGAATGGTTACACATTCCTAGTGCTGGGTATAATTTCCCAGGTGGTGGGTCTTGATTTCTTGAGATTGGAAAGGGACTTTATGCTTCTTTATCAGAGGAAGAAAATAACTGCCTTTGGAAAACTGGTCAGCCTCAGGGCTCAGGAAGGTTTCTAGCCACAGAATTAGTTTCAAGATTTAAAAAAAAAATGCTAGTTGAGAAGGGTTCCAGTTGTTTCTTCATACAAGGAACCAGCAGGAACACCCCTTTTGTGCTATCTGCTTTTGGCAACTGGTATCCCTCCAAATCACTCTGTTAAGCCTACAAATTCCCCAATGATGGGACTGCCTGTCATTGCTCCTGTCCTTTTTAATTCAGACTCAGAAAAAGTTCTCGTGATACCAGTGAAGCAAAACTACCAAAGGTAAGTGTGCAGCCTAGATGCTGTAGTAGCTGGCTCAACAACTGGAGCCCTTTGTAGCAGACCATGGTGGTCTATCTTCTGGAACTCTTTCATCAGAAAACAGCCAAACATTATTGTTCAGTAGCTCACTCCATCTGGCCTCACACAACAGGTTGCAAGTAACTATACCTTCTACTGAGTCTTGGCACTAGTCAACATTTCCCTCACTTTGTCTCTCAGACCAGTCAAACCCAGCAGAGGGTCCACTTGGTTTGGCTGAGCTCCAGTGGCAAATCTCCCTTGCTCGAGAGATTCAGCAGTGGACAGAATGTGGTTTTCAGAATAAGGGTATCCTTTGTTACAACACATATACTAAATATTTATCCAAACCATGAAAGATCTCACTGTGACCTTTTTCAGATCTCACTCATTCCATACCCCTATCTCCACAAATGTTTATAGCAGTCCTTTGAGGCTTAGCAGTCTATGGCCCTAGCTATGGCTGAATCCACATCCAACCTAACATTCAACCTCATGTACAATGCAGGACTTTATCTACAGTTTGATGAGCTTATGTACATAGGGACTGCTCCCTTTGCATGCTTTAGAGAGGGAGGGAGAGAGAGAAAGAATGGCACACACACACATACACACACACAAGTGTGTGTGACAGAGAGATAGAGAGAGTGGGAGGGAGGAGGGAGGGAGAGATGAGGCTGACAAGGACAAGAGGGAAGGTAAAATTGCTATGTTTTCATATAATCAAAGCATTGTGGGATAAGGTGCCCAGAAATACATGGAACAGCCTAAAGGGGGAAGCAGCAAGGTATGGGCCATGTGGCATTTCTTCATGGGACACCAGTATACAAGAGAAATCTGCATCACTGTTTGCCAGATATCTTCAAAAGCTAAGTATCAGTTTAAGAAATGAGCAAACCAATCAAAAGGTGGTGGCTATTGACACCAAAGTAAAGGCCATCTCTTTCCAGGAAGGAAGGAAAGAAGGAAGGAAGGAAGGAAGGAAGGAAAGGAGGAAGGAAAAAATGATATGAGGGAATGGAGAGATTAAAGGTAATTCCATTGTTGATATTTCTTTTTACAGTATCTCAGCATCCTTGCTAGGATCCAGCCTCCATAGAGTGATCCATCGGGTCTCTCATACTCCTGGATGGTCAGTGACTTGACAGTTTGTTCTAATAAACGTTGCTGATTTTTTCTTCATTGAAATTTTCCCCCTTTGTTGCAGTACACACAAAAGTTGTGAAAGAAGCCGTCTTTTCCCTCCCCCCTCTCTCTCTTGCTCTGTCTCCTGTATGACATTTTTGTTTTGTTTTGCTTTGTGTGTTGTTCTTGTTGTTGCTGGGTTTTTATTTTTTTCCCTTTTTTAAAATTCGGATGTTATTAACATTTGCTGAGTAGGCAGAGCAGGGATGCTGCCAACAGCCACAGTGGTACGGCCAGACACATTGATCCATTGCCTGCTATCCCTGTACCAGGTCCTAGGAGATGGGAGAGAGAAGAAAAAAACAGAACAAAACAATTACAAACCAGCTATATGAAATAGAATAACCATATCCATTAACTGATGCTTCCCCTGCCTTTTTGGTGTCTCCTGCTAGGAAAAATGGCAATTTATTTATTTATTTATTTAGTAAGCTTCTATGCCGCCCCATTCGCCAAAGCTTCGGGGCGGCTCACAACAATAAATAAATACATATTAAACATATTTAAACGTCCTGGCCGAAGATATAAAATCAATAAATAAAGCTAACAATTAAAATGACGTTTAAATAAAAAAGGTCTTGGCCTGGCGCCGAAAAACAAATAACGATGGTGCCAGGCGGACCTCTCTGGGGAGCGCATTCCATAGGTTGGGCGCCACCTCAGAGAAAGCCCTCCTCTGGGTACTTACCCTCCTAATATCCTAATAATTGGAGTGGTTAAGACAACAGTATGGAGTCCTCAGGCTTTTGATATTAGGTGATCTGGTTATTATTATTGTTTTTACTCCAGAAGGCAGTAATGTAGTCAAAGTGTCGGTTTGCAAAAAGCATAGTTGTCAAAGATGAGGCACATTATCTCCTTTAGAGTCCTACATCTCAATTTCCCCCCTCTTATTAAGAGTTGGCTTTCACAAGCAAATGAGTTGCATCCAATGAGTTGCCTACTGTTAGTCACTCATTCATTTCATTGGGTCTTCTCAAAGTAGGACAAACAAAATCAAACTTTAGGCTCATCTCTTTGGGCTCAGTTGACAGAGGTGGTTAAACTCTGTCTAGTCTTTGCTGATTCATCTATACAAGCAATGAAAGGATAGAAATCTAGGATAGAAGAATAGAATGCATCACTTCTGATTCCAGATGGTGGTACCATTTTTGGATACTTTTCCATGTAATAATAGTTCCTGCAGGTAAACACAGAGAATGTTCTAGCTAGTCTCTGCCCTGCATAACATTTTCTATATCTCAGGGTTTCTATCCTATGTCTCTTTCCCTTTCTTCCATGAGAGAGCATGAAAAAAGGGTTCTCTGTGATATGAAATGGGACAATCCATACTATTAGCAAGATTCTTCCAGAGTACTACAAATCTTTTTCAGCTCAAGCATTAGATTTAGTTTCTGGGGAGGGATATTCCCATGGTGGGCAGAGTTAAAGACAATGGAATGGGGCTGAAGGCAAAGGGGGCAGGGCCAAAATTATAAAAATACCAGTTCCATACTTAGAGCACCTAGGTCTTAGGAAAACCATTCCAGTCCTTTAGAATAGAGGGAAAACTGCACAGATGCTGGAAAACCACTAAGCAGTTGGTGAATAAGAGAAACAAGCATGGAACAAAGGAACCCTGGAAGACCTGACTGGGACCCTGTAAGGCTGAAACTGGTCCCCTGGCCTGGGGTTTACCCCCTAATACTTACGGGTAAAATCTCAGGTTTTAGTGGCAACTTGGGAGGAAAGAATCATGTCTGATATGGAAAAAAGAACTGTCCAAGGTGAGTAAGTCCCATTGAACTCAGTGAGGCTCATGTTTAAGTAGATCTGAACAGGCAGGTTTGCAGTGCAAGGCTTTCACTGAGCAACAGGAAACTGAACCAGCCCCCTTGCCATGCAAAGATAAGGAACAGCTTTCCTACTATCACTAGTTTAGTAGTTAAACAACACAATCAAGCAGATCTATGAGAATATGTTCCCCAGGAATAAAATTGACCTGTTAGCAAGAAACAAACAGAAAAATAGTAAACTGAGTTACATTAGCAGCAATACTTCCTCTTGCAGATCAGTCCATTATTTCTTTATCAACCAGTGCATCATTTTTAATTTTTTTATTTCAAAGTTAACTCAAATGTTCCTAGTTAACACAGTGAAAACAAGACATTGTTTTAGTAAACATCCTGATTATATGAAGTCATGCTTAATTCTTTCTCACTAAAATCAGTGACACCTAAAAAGTATTCAGCTTCACTGGATTGTGCATCAGTTCAATAAAATCACACTAAAATGTCCACTAAAACATAAAATACTACTTTGAATTAAAATTACAACATGAAAAGCCTTCCTAACCCTAGCCAAGAAAGTCCTAGAGTGACTTTGGTGAACCTTATGCATAAAAGAGTTCTCTGTTTGTGGGACAGTAAGAAGAGCCTATATTCCCATGCACACAAATCATAAGCTAATCTCATGTGGTATAGCAATTGCAACAGAATGTAGGAAAGGATGGTTCCTGAACAATGTAATATTTAAACATTTATTCTGAAGAAGATACACATTTTGCTGTTATTAGAAAACTTATACCCTTCTGGTCGGTTAGCTATTTGCTAAAGAGATTATGGCTGACAGTAATGTTTAGTCAGGTAATTGATAGCGGAACTCAAATGGAAGGATGGGAGGTACTCAAAAAGGGGAACAGCCCCCAACCCTTTGTAACTGTTCCATGCCAGATCTCCATTGCTTGGAGACCACAGCCAAGAAATTAGAAGAAGACTGTGACTTGAAAGAGCTGCAGTAAAGGAACTAGGAAAGATCACCCAGTGTAAGGACGTTCTACTGGAAATTAAGGCTAAGTTCATCCACACTATAGTATTCCTGAACACTACGTATGGGTGTGAAAGCTGAACAATGAAGAAAAATGACAGGAAAAAAGTTGATCCATTCAAAACATGGTGCTAGAGGAAATTTTTGTGAATACCCTGGACTGACACAAAAATGAGCACTTGGGTCCTGGATCAAATCAAGCCAGAACTTTCCTCGGAAGCAAAATTGAGAAAGCTGAGGTTGTTGTACTTTGGGCACATCATGAAAAGGCAGGGCTGGCTGGAGAAGACTATTGTGCTAGGGAAAGCTGAAGGCACAAAAGAGAGAGGAAGACCAACTATGAGATGGACTGATTCCATAAAGGAAGCCACAGCCTTGAGTTTACAAGAGCTGAGCAGAGCTTTGAAGGACAGGACATTCTGGAGGGCAACCTTTCATAGGGTTGCTATAAGTCAAAGTTAAATTGATCAAACATAACAACAACAATGGATGGGATAATCTATCAGTTTTCATTTCAACGAGTTTCTCAGTTTCTCAATCTTAAGTTCATCAGATTGAGGAAAAAATGAAAATGCAGGGACATTTTCCTTTAATATACATATTATGTGTGCATTTTATGGGTGTGCAAGAAATTTTACCCTAATATAATGCATTTTTGCCTGTGTTTCCCACTTATTTGCAGTTTCTGTGTAAAACCCTTAATAGACACATTATGTGCTGAATTTATGGTTCTCATAAAGGTTTTGGGGTGTGAATTATGTGTGTTTGTATAAAAATTCAGACTAAACTAATTTCTCCTCCTTAATAGAGAGGAGGCGATGTTGTGACTTATGAACATTTGGGAATGATAAAAATGTGGTTGGTCATTAATGATAGTTCCTTTCACATTTTGCAGTGCGCACAACATAGGACACTTTGGCTGCAGATTGCAATCCTATACACACTCACTTCCGAACAGGGATATCAGAAAAACCTTCAATGGAATGAAGTCAGTCCAGATTGTTGGAGCCCACCCTGTGATTTCTGCTTTCCCTTGTTGCACAGAGTCCATGGGGCTTGAGGGTCAGAACACAGAACAAAAAAGCACAAATTCCCCTATACAGTGAAGCATGAAAATATGTACTGTGGTGGTTGAGTGTTTTGGGTTGATTTGCACATTTTTGTAAGTGCAAATGAGCATAAATACAAATTTGCACAAATATATGCAAACTTATTTGTGCAAATTAAGAGTCCACAAATTGGCACACCAGGAAGCAAGAGTCATCCGAAAATCCACAAATCACTGCCAGAATAGCCTTTTCTCTGTTCACATGTCTCTGATTTGAGACACACCACTGTACCAGGAAAACTTTCTTCTAGATAACATCTGCGATGGTGACCAACTATTCTTCCTTCCTGCAAAGGAAAACTGAGGGTCAGAGCTATCAGCTTTCCTTTAGTGACTGGTCTCTGCTTCCTGTCAGGGGGCTGAACTGGGTGGGACTTACAGCAGATCTCTATGAGCTTGCTTTCCATTCTCCCTCTCTGCTGAAACAGCATGGTCCACCTGTTTACTCTCCCTCCATGTGGTGGCCCTTGAATGCCTGAACTTGTTATCATTCTGCACGTTGACAAGTGTCTGCTTACAGCCAGACGCTGGCTCCTTGGGGGCTGATTCATCACAGCAATCTAATCAATAAAACATGGAACCAATCAGCAAATGCCTTTGGTCTCCAGGGAGGCTGCATAATTATTTATTTGGTAATCGTGGGGGAGAGAATGATTTCAATGTAACATTTATGGTCCTGCAGTGCAAGGCCTAAGGAGGGGAGCAACAGGAATGCCAGCAAAGCTTTGATTTTCACAAGGGTGGTGAATGAAAGGCATTCACTGCTGCAGCAACAAATAATACAGGGTCGCAACAGGAATATTAAGTGCTAACACAACAGATGTCCTTTCATTCAGCCTCTCATTTACTGCTCTCCTGCTTGGAATGATCTTGAGCCTGAGAATCTATTTAAAGTATTCCCTGTAGAAGCAACTCTGTACACCATGCAATATATGCTCATGATTCAGTCAAGATTGCATTTTTCCATTATGTAAATACAGTAAGACCTATTGTTCCTAACTGACTCACCGATATCCCCCATACTCCTGCATTCTGATCTAGTGTGTCACTATCTGGGGATATGGGGTCAAAAACAGCTGCTCCATGACTGAATCTTTTCCCAATTCATTGTCCAGGGTTCTATATATGAAGCGCTGGGAAAAGAAAACCCACCCAACACACAGAGAGATCATAGTGCATGATCAGAGGGCATGATCAGAGCATGGGGGGGGGGGGCAGAGGGCTCAGTTTGGTCACTTCCTTCCCAGTCTGATTGGACAGCTAACTAGTGTGATTGTTGATAATCTGATAGGGGTACAGGCTCATTTCTAGCTGCTGTGCACACATACATTTAATTCAAGGCCCTGTGTATGGGAATTCTGT